AGGATCAAGTCATTAATAAGAGTACACATTTTAGATATCTTGTATCTATTGCTGATAGTGATGGGGTAATACATGGGGACATTATCAGCAGAATTCAAGTTGGATGGTTGAAGTGGAGGAATGCACTGGGCTTGTTGTGTGATAGAAAAGTACCCCTTAAATTTAAGGGAAAGTACTATAAGATGGTATATATATATACACACACACACATATGTTTATTTATTTATTTCAGATGAAAAAGTTGGCTCATGCATTTTTTGTTGAAGCAAGATGGGAAAATGAACATTATATTCCCAATATACAAGAACACTTGCATATTTCTCTTTGCAGTTGTGCATATCCATTGGTATTTTGTGCATTATTTCTTGGCATGCAGGAGGTGATTCCATTGAATGTATATGAATGGTTGACTGAATTTCCTGAGATTGTCAAAGCATCTTGTATTATCTGCAGAGTTATGAATGATATTACTTCCGATGAGGAATTTTTTATATAAAAAAATTAAGTAGTGAAATTTATACAAGAAGAAGCACGCGACAAGCTAAGGGTAATGGTGGAGGATGCGTGGAAAACATTGAATCAAGAGTATCTATTGTCCAATTTACCACTCTTTATAGTTCAACCTGTCATCAAGCTCACACGTATGCTGGAGCTTTTCTACAAGGATAAAGACAATTACACTAATCCCTTTGGCTTTATAAAAGATAAGATCAAATAACTAATGGTGGACCCTATTTTGTCAAATTTGGAATAAATTGTACATACGAATGATTACCTGAACCACATGCTAATAATTATCTCATTAACAAGTTAATTATTATTATGCTGGGATAATGTTCAGCATAAGTAAAAGTAAGTTCTATAATGAAAAGAATAGAGTTGTGCACATTTCTTACATTATTCCTATAGTGTTTCCATTGCATATTTTATGAACAATTTGAAATTTTATTATTTCTGTTTTTTAAATAAAAATTTAATGATCTTCCCTAGGCCTTCCTTTTTTTTTTGCAATATTGTGTTATTCCTATTGTATGATAATTGATGCAAATAAAATCAAAGAAATTTTATAAAAATCTCTAATATTTTTTCTCATTTGTAAACAAATTTCTCAATTAGGATAAACTAGCTCACACAATTTCAACTTTTTCTTAATAACATTATTGTAACTTAAAACATACTAATATATGTATAAACTAAACGAATTATAGAACAATTCATTTTGAATAATAGACACATACTTTTCCCTATTTTCTGCTTTAAAATACTATAAATACGGGCCTTAAGCTGAAGAAATTCACAATTCTTCACTTCTTTTTTCATTGCCTGTGCCATATAGAAAAAGGAGCAATGGCATATGCTGAATCCTCTGGCATTCATTCTCCTGTAGATGTTGTTGGCCAGCCTGTCGGAGTTTTTCACCCAAGTGTTTGGGGAGATTTCTTCATAACCCATACGCCAATGCCTTCCTCTGAGCTTGTACGATTGAGCTTTTAACAGGCAATTTTTTTTTTTACATGAAATCTATTCTGACCACTTGAGTTTGATAGTTTCAGCTTTGATACGAACTGCAAAACAGAAGTTTTTCTCAGCCGTAATAGCGATGTGCGAAATATATTTTTATTCAATGAAACTTTTTGATAAAGTGTTGAGTATAGAGAACTTTGAGCAATTTTTTTTTTTTTCAGTTATGAAATTAAATTCACGCATCTAAGAAAAAAAGTTTTATTATTGCAGATATCAAAGAATAGTGGTTTTTGGTTTTCTTAATAATTACTTGTATGAAAGTTTTGATAAATGTTATTTATTTATAAAGGAAAAGATAAAGAAAAGGATTGACGAGCTTAAGGAAGTGATAAAGAAGCAGCTTAGAGACACAAGTGATGAACTTGAATCTTTAGAAATGATTGATGCAATCCATCATCTGGGAGTGGCCTATCATTTTGAAGTGGAGATCAACGATACTTTGAAGAAAATACATAGAGATGGCTTCGAAGAGAGTAAAGATCTACACACTATAGCGTTGGGATTTCGACTATTGAGGCAGCAACGATTTCTAATTTCAGCTGGTACTAAATTATCCTTCAGCCTTCATTTTATGTTAAAAAAGTATTTTATGAAAACATTTAAAATAATTAAATGTAAAGTATGATATCAGATCATAATGTTTAAAAAAAGTAGCTTCACATAGCTCAATTTTTTACTACCATTTTATCCTTATTTTTATAATAAATTACATAAAAATAATGATGAAATACCTGAACTTTAATATAGGTATAGAAATATTTTGTGCAGTTTGGGATCACTTTCTGATCAGTTTTTTTTTTAAATATTTAATTTTATTCTATTATGTTCTTGTTTTGATTCAAAATAAAAATTATTTTGTCTTATTAAATACGAGCTTTTTTTTTTGTTTTTGCGAGTGATGATAACAAAAGGTTCAACAATGGTTCTAGGCTATTTTCATTAAAAAAATTTATTCAAAGCACGCCTTTAGAAAACTCACAATCTATTTATGTGTTTGAAAAACAGACATATTCAACAAGTTTATGAAAAAAGGAGATTTCGATGAAAGCTTGAAGCGTGATGGAAAAGGGTTGTTAAGCCTCTATGAAGCTGCCCATCTTGGAACACAAAATGAGAAAATATTAGAAAATGCTGTAAAATTTGCAAGAACTCATCTCAAATTGATGTTAGGCAATATGGACAAAAATTTTGCAACAATAACATCAAGAGCTTTAGAAAGACCAAGGTTTAGAAGATCTGAAAGGTTAGAAGCAAGAGAATACATATCAATTTTTGAAGAAGAAAAAAATAGAAGTGAACTTCTATTAGAGTTTGCAAAATTGGACTTCCATTTAGTACAATCAATTCATTTGGAGGAACTTTTACACTTAACCTTGTAAGTTTAGTTTACTTCAAAATTCTTCTGTATGCCTTCTTTTTGAGTGTGTATGCCCGCATAGTGAAAATAACTGAAAATGATTTGTTATGATCATGTAGATGGAAGAATTCAATAGCTCTTTCTGAAAACCTACCATTTGCACGAGATAGATTGGTTGAGTTAAACTTTTGGATGACCGGCACATACTTTGAACCAAGTTATTCTCGTGCAAGAATAATGGCTACAAAATTAATTGTATTAACATCAATACTTGATGATATTTACGATCAATACGGAACACTTGAAGATCTTGAATTGCTTACTGAGAAAATTGAAAGGTAATAAAAACAAATTTAATATTAGTTAGTCTTAATTAATGACCAATATGATGTAATTTATATTTATTGTGAAAATTTATATGTGCCAACATAGATGGGAACTACTGAGAGTTGACCAGTTACCGAAGTATTTGCAATGCTTTTGCATGTCTCTTTATAAAACATTCAAAGATTTCGACGACGAGCTGTCATTTGAGCAAAATTCATTTCGCGTGCGATTCCTTGAAAATGAGGTATGGCCTTATAGCACTGACATGTATAATCACATTTCAATTAAAAAGTTTAGATAGCTAATGCCAATTTTATATGTTCATTTCTATTTTTTGTCCTGTATATAATTTCTCTAAAAAGCTACCAAGTAATGAAATATGCAAAAAACTTTATTTCAATTACATTCTCATGTAAAAATATTTTTAAATAGTTAATTAATTATAGTAATAAATTAAAACTATTTCTTATTTAGAAAATAAAAATATTATTTTAATTTATATCTATTTATTTATTTCAGATGAAAAAGTTGGCGCATGCATTTTTTGTTGAAGCAAGATGGGGAAATGAACATTATATTCCCAATATACAAGAACACTTGCATATCTCTCTTTGCAGTTGTGCATATCCATTGGTATTTTGTGCATTATTTCTTGGTATGCACGAGGTGATTCCATTGAATGTATATGAATGGTTGACAGAATTTCCTGAGATTGTCAAAGCTTCTTGTATTATCTGCAGAATTATGAATGATATTACTTCCGATGAGGTATCTTTTATATAAAAAAAATTTAAGTAGTGAAATTTATATAAATGCTCGTTTAATGTGTTGCATTTATTTAGCTATTAATTTATATGCATTGTCATATTCTAATTTTACAGCATGAAGAGAGAGACAATCATTTTGCTACCATAGTTGAGAGCTACACAAAGGAGAAAAAATGCACAAAAGAAGAAGCACGCGACAAGCTAAGGGTAATGGTGGAGGATGCATGGAAAACATTGAATCAAGAGTATCTACTGTCCAATTTACCACTCTTTATAGTTCAAATTGTCATCAAGCTCTCACGTATGCTCGAGCTTTTCTACAAGGATAAAGACAATTACACTAATCCCTTTGGCTTTATAAAAGATAAGATCAAATTACTAATGGTGGACCCTATTTTGTCCAATTTGGAATAAATTGTTCATACGAATGATTACCTGAACCACATGCTAATAATTATCTCATTAAGCACTTAATTATTATTGTGCTGTGATAAAAGTAAGTTCTATAATGGAAAGATGGATAAGCTGCTTTCTAAATTTATTGGGCAATTGACCACGAAATAATAGAGCTGTGCACATTTCATACATTAATCCTATAGTGTTTTCCATTGCATATTTTATGAACAATTTGAAATTTTATTTTTTATGTTTTTTAAATAAAAATTTAATGATCTGCCATAGGCCTTGCATTATTTTGGCATTGTTGTGTTATTGCTATATTGTATGGTAATTGATGCAAATAAAATCAAAATAATTTTATACAAATCTTTAATATTTTTGTTCATTTGTAAACAAATTTCTCAATTGGATAAATAGCTCACACAATTTCAACTTTCTCTTAAGAACATTAACATTTAAAAATTTTATATAATGATTTCTTAAACCTGTAAACATCATTAAAATTATACTAAATTATTGTAAATTTATTGCATCTATCCTAATTAAAGTTTTTTATAAGATTTTTTTTTTTAACAGAACAATATATTAATAATAAAAAAAGAAAACATTACAAAGAAATAGAGATGAGGAAAAAAAGAAAAAGGAAAAATATAATAAAAAGCGGGCTCAGTAGGCGGTTGAGGCACAAGCACCAACAACACGTCACCAGGACCGTCCTAAAGCACCCCAAATCAACTCGAACCCTCAGCTATGGTGCTGGTTTGGGGCACGCATCATTGCAATAAATTTAAACCCACCACAGAATATAAACCCACAGAATATAAACCCACCACAGAAAAGAAAAAAGCACAGATAAATAAAAGAAATAAGCTAACGGCGACGGCGACCCTTGCCTCGCCCGAATACCAACCACAGAACCCGGTCTTACATTAACAAGAGTAAAGTCACGGCCAGGATCGGAGCTACCACAAAAATCAGACGACAGCATAAAAGCATCATCAGAATCAGAAACTAGTTCCCCCTCTGACGAGTCCAGCCAATTCAACTTATTCGTCATCAGCAACAACCACATTGCTAATAATAGGAATTTCACAATCAAGACCATCTTTAGCTAAAGAATCATCAGAACCATTCACAGAAATACCAAATTCACGAGAAGTAACAGGGGCTACAGTCGAAACAGGATTCGTGAAATATTCCGAAACTTTAGGGTCAGCCGGTGGAGATTTAGATACACGTTTAGGACACACCAGTTTTTTGTGACCTAAAGCTTTACAAGAAGAACAAAAACTAGGCATGCATTCAAAAACAATTTTTTGGACATAACCCAACTTCTCCGGCCCTAACCAAACAGAATCGGGAAAAGTTTTGGTGACATCTATTTCAACAAGAACACGAGCTACGGATGGTCTAGAACCAGAGGCAGTAGCATTATCAGTGTGAATCGGTCTACCAAAAATAGAGCCTAATCTAAAAAGAATACGAGAAGTGAATAGATGAGGGAGTGAACCAGGGAAAGAGAGCCAAACAGGCACAATCGGAGACTCCTCGGACAGATCAAGAACAGGGGACCATTTAATAACTTTCATGAAACAACCAAAAATCTTATAGGATCTGTGAGCAAAAACCCTAGCATAGTCCAAATCATTATCAAGCTTAATCAAAACATTAGCTTGATCCAAAAGTGTGACGGAAAAATCCCCCGATAATTTCAAAATGAAAAAAAATTTACAGATAGAATCCAAAGAGGGGCGTTTGAGTGGAAATCTCCCAACCAAAGCAAACTCAAAAGGCTTAGCAAGATGAAGAAATTCCTCTTCCGAAAACCATAAAGAGGGCATACCACGATGCGAAGAAATGCGAAAATCAGGAAATAGGTTAGCATCAGTTGAGCCAGATAAAGCATCCCTAAAAGATTTAGGTTGCTTACCCGCGAGGAACCCAGGATCCAAAAGTTTTTTTGCCATAGAAAGACCCCTCCGGCTGCCAAAGGCGGCGGAGAGAAAGCCGCATGAGAAACCCTAAGAAGGGGCAAACCCTAGCAGACACTAAGTTTTTTATAAGATTGACAGGCTTGAATGATCAAATCTAAATGTTATGTCTTAGAAAGACAAATTTGATTGGGCATGAATGTTGTTACAAATTGAAGTGGAAAGTTTTCAAAACATAGCTCCAGACTATTCGAAAACCGATTCCAACAGCACCAAAAAATATTTTAATTAGGATTACTAATAGAAAGATAGATTAACGAATTCTCCATCCAACAACATAAAAAAATAATTTGAAATTAAGTATCTTAACCCCTCAACAATTTTTTTTTTTTTAAATAAAGAAGCAGTCTACATTCACTTGACAAAGTCACACATAAGAAATTTTCTAGAGAAAATTGTTTCTTAAAAAATCTTAATAATGGAACTACATATCATGGAGGGCTTTTAAAAAAAAATTAGCCAGTTCATTAATCTTCGGAACTTTTCAAATTTTGCAATCAATAAATGGACATATTTCATGTTGCTTTCTTGAAGTTTTTATTAAATTAAAAAATATATATATAATTTGAAATAAAAGTAGTTCATAAGGACACCCAAATATGTTTTTTATACCCTTGAAAAATTTATAATACTTTATTTAGATAGAAATAAAAGGAACCCACCAAAATGCATACTGGGCAAACATTTTTTTTTTAACCCACTCATGGGGCCTACGCATTAATTATCAAAAAAGTGGTTACAAGGTCCTTAAAAGAAATCTCCAGCTCACTACTGCTCGAAAGAGCTACATTCAAAAAAAAAAAATTTAAAACCTATGACCCAGTGGTTCCTTATACTATGATTACAAAAGCAGATAAAATTAACAGAAGGTCTGTGAGTCAACAGATCCCAAAAAAGGAAGCTCAAAATGATAGCGTTCAGCTCGGTCTTCCTGCAAAAAGAATAATAATAACAGGTACCCAAAAAAACTGACCAAAATAAAAGTACCTTGCAAGCAGATAAGGTTGGTCCACGAAAAATGTAGAAAAACCTGTTACACCAATTCTTCCCTAAAAAGTTGAAAAGCAAATGAACATGATACCCAGAAATACCAGAATCCAGAGAAACAACAATGGCCAGAAAATCATGCCCCTTATAATCCAACTTGTGAACACAGTCAATATAAAAGTTAGGGCTCGAATAATGACTAAACAAGTTCTTTAACATCAAAATCCCAGCCTGACTAACATAGAACCAATCCCAGCAGTAACCATTGTAGCAATTGTTCAAGAATCTCAACTCAACATCCTCTAAATCAAAATCAATTACCACCCAGGTGAACAACACATTAAGATAAAAACCCCACCTAATATAGACATCGACACCAGCAATTAAAGAAGCTCTTCCCAGGCTAAAAGACGCAGAACTGAGCAAATAAAGAAGCTCTTCCCAGTAATAAAAATAAGAGAGAATAACCATCATCACAGTCATATTAGCAAAATTAGGAGCAAAGCTCCAGCAAATATAAATAGAGGACATGACAAAGATCCAAGCACAGCTGAAAAGAAATAAGGAGGCAAGATGAAACCAGAAAACAGAGTAAATAACCAAACGGACACAGACACCGACAGTAAAAGTGTTAACCATGTCTAATATAAGGGAGAGAAGATTTATCCAGAAAAATCATACCTTTCAACACAGTATTAAAATTTAAGACATTAAGATCTTGAGAGTTCCTCAACTGGCAACCTAAATTAGCCAACCAATCAGCACAACTATTAGCTTCACGGAAAATATGAGATATTTTGTTATTGATATTAGAGAGAGCCAATTTAATCCTTCTAATCAGATAAAAATTATTGGAATTCCCCTGAAATTTATCATTCACATTATTAACCACAGTCTGAGAGTCCACCTCAATCCAAACATTCCAATACCCCAAAGAAATACATTTTTCAATTCCCATAACAGTAGCAGTAAGTTCGGCAGTCAAAGCAGAACAAAAATGCTAGGGGGAAGCAAAAGCAGATAAAACCTTACCTTCATGATTCCTAATAATGCCACCAGTACCAGCATAACCCAACCTTACCGAACCATCAGTATTAAGTTTAACATAAGGCATATCCGGTTTCCTCCAAAAAACCATTCTAGAAATTCTATTAGTAGCATTCAAGTTCCTTTTAATACCGAGCACGTTGGCAAACTTAAAAGAATTATTGCAATTCTTATACGAAATCATATTGCAAGACGAAAGAGTATTGATTTTATGATTAATATTAGAAATAATAATAGAAGCCTCCATTTTAGTATCACCATGCTTGGACTCATTTCTCGATTTCCAAATCTACCATAAAATAAGAATACTGGGCAACATTTGTTAGTGCTTCCCGGTATCATAAGTGCAAGCAAAGTTATCGATGACACCACCATTAGTTGCCGGAAAGCTGGCCTAGTGTTTTATGTGTGCCTAGGCTTATTTTGTGGTTCCAGTAATTCTAACATTTTTGGGCCCCTTGATGCTATATTTCATCATTTTAATATAACTTTTAACATCTATGGTGCCCAATAGAACCTCAATGAGCAACTTTAACCTATTTCAAATAAATTGAAGTAATTTTTTTCAATTCATTGCCATAAGTGGAGATTTAGGCTTATGTTTAGAGAGTTGTTAAAAATTAGAGTTTATCATATGAGGTACTGTCATGTGTCTTCTCTATTGGTTTGACTAGTTGGAGTTTAATATTTTTTATTATATTGAAAAAATATATTTTTTCTCAACTGTTATAAGTAAAACTCATGTCAAAACACCCAAGTCTTCATAGTACCATGTGAGCATTATCCATGGTAAGAAAATTACACCTTATTTGATCTTCATAGCTAGAAATATTAGTTTAAAATAGGCATTTGCTGGTGATATGAAGAGAGGTGAGGTTGACTCAACTAACAAGAATTGATTCTATAGGTATGCTTAAATCTTAAGATTGGTTCTAGTAGAGGTGTGGGAGGAGATGACATTCATTGCACTCATTATATTAGTAATTAATCAACATCTTTTCTCATTTCATAACACATACATGCTAAAAATATTATTCCTTCTCTTATTATCTGCCACATTCTTAGCTATAGTTAAGCATATCATCATATTTATACACTCAAATTCTTCATCAGACTATTGGTGTCATTATGAACCTCTTATAAATCATCATTTAAAAGGTACTCAATTTATTCTAAGAATAAAATTTGATCTTTGCATTGATTTTGATGTGACTCTCCTATGAGTCTTAAAATATATTATTTATTAATTAATTTTGAAACTACCTTCAATAGAAGTTTTGTTTAACTAGATTGAGTGAGTAGGTGTTATCGGTCTATTATTAGACTTGTGAGATGAAGTAGAAGGTGTTTAAGTCATAATTTTATAAAGATGAGTATATTTCCTATATTTTTAAACAAAAGATGCATAATGTAAGGCTTCATAAACTTTTGGGGATCGAATAGTTGAATAAGATATTAGTAACTAGTCCAATGATATATTTGTTGGGTAGTTCCCAATTATTATCACCATAATAGTCCAAAGAAACTAAGGTCTCCTAAGGTGCTTAAACATTGAGTACCTGGGAGACTACCTTGCCTTAAGGTTGATTAATGCTCATTTAAGTTTTTATCAAGATGTATAGGATAATACTTAGCTATTAGTTTTTTTTTTCTTCTACCAAGGTAAGGAAACAGGACAAGAGTAAAGGAATTCACTATGTGGAATGGAAAACCCTTTGTAAGCAGATTAAATTCGGAGGTCAAGGTGTTATGTCGGCTGCTAATAAAGTTGGTTTGTGGAGAGCTAAATTTGCTTGGAGTGTGTTATCTAATTCCTCTTCTTTATTGAACAGAATTATCATTGCCAAATATGGAAGAAACTTTTGTTTCTCTGAAGCTAAAGTTGGTTGCTCACCAACTTGGAAAATTATAAACTGTGGAGGCAAACTTCTTCAACATATTACTAGATGGAAGGTTTTTAATGGTGAGCACATCAACACTACTAAGGATATTTGGATCCTTGATAAGTGTTTAGAAAAATGGCCTACGTTTGTGTCCAACTTACATGAAGATCAATGTTGTTTGAAGTATTTTCTTAAAGATGGAAACTAGAACATCCAAAGATGAGGCGTTCGGTAAGGAGTTAGCAGACTTGATTTCTTTGGTTCCTTCAAATGTTGGAGCTCATGAAGATGAAGTGGAAATCATGTATAAGTTTTATGGGAAATCAATTGCAGTATTGATTTCTGAAAAAAGCAACTTAAATGAGGAAGAGGACGCTAACTGGAGATGGCTTAAAATATTGAAGTTGAGGCCAAGAGTTAATATCTTTTGGTGGAAACTGATTCACAAATCAATTCCAACCAATGATTTCTTAATGTATAGAAGGATTATCAATCACAATGAATGCCCAAGAGGATGTTGTGCTGTAGAGGATGCAAGTCATCTAGCTTTTAATTGTTTTTTCATGACTAATATCATCAACTCATTAAAAAGTTGGGGCTATGATATACCTGTTTTCACCAATTTGGAGAGCTCTTTTAATTAGCTTTCTAAGCTATCTAGTTCCAATCCTTTTATGGCCAATTTGTACTGTTCTGCAGTTTTTTTTTCTCCTGGAAGAGCAGGAATAAACGGGTGCATGGGTCGGTTGAAGACAGCATATCATCTATTGCAGCCAATACAGTCAGTTTCGATTCTTTATCCTTCAGCCAAGATCTCATTTCGGCCAACTGGGTTTCTAATTAGCAATTGATCAATTTGACTATTACTTTTGGCTATTGTCGAAATTTCAGATGACATGGAGAAGTCCGTTTTACGATCGGATATCATATGGGCGACGTTGTGTGCTAATTGCTCAAGTTTGCGCATTGTTGCCTTGGGTTTTGTGCCATTTCGTCGGGCGATTCCAATTGAAAAAATTAATAGTGGTTTTTGAATGTCGTCGATGTTTTGGACTCAACGACAAGGTTCATTTTGTGATTAGACGTCGTTTTGGCGACGTTGTGCATCAATTTGTGGTGTCGATGGTCCCTTTAGACCGATCTCGTTCGATTTGACTGCAAGGGGTGCCAACTTAGGGGAGCTTGACATCCTAATTGCAACGACGCAAATCGTTTGGGAATGGGAGGTCGTTTGACCCTTCCAGTGACTCGACTTACTAATGCGCGCGTAGTTAAATTTATCATTTTCGTCCATTTCACATGTTGTTTGAAGTATAGGGGTCAACAACCATATATATATGAAAAGATGTATTTTTATTTAATTAATTTAATTTTAATAATATTTTTTTATGATTTTAAAATTTAAGTGCTATAATAAATAAATTTAAAATATTAAACATTAAATAAAAAAGTTAATCGTTTGTACGTAAATCCCCAAAATAAAATTAAATACTTTTGCTTGCATACCAACTCAATTAAGGTTTTACCACGCCAAGCTTACAATCAACCCATCAACGCATACTTACACAAGCTTTGAATACAAGATATTTGACTGGTAGCCAAAGCCCAAAATCACCTGATCCACCAGATGAGATGTGTGATGAAGATCTAATCCTCTTTGATTGGCTTATCTCGTTCTGAAATCATCTTGCTCTGGCATGACGTCAGGAAAAGATTTCCACCGGCGAATCAGCATTCTTCAATCAAAAAAAAAAAAAAAAAAACCCTACCTCACTATTAAAATTCCCTTTTTTTTTTTCCACTGGCGAATCAGCATTCTTCAATCCAAAAAAAAAAAACGAAGCAGATCTAATTATTTTGTATTATACTTATCTGTTTTATTATCTGTACTGAAATTGCTGTACATATTATATACTAAAAATATGAAAGAATCTATGGGAAGGGAGAGAACAAGGAAAAGGAGAGGGAGAGAGACAGAAATGGCAGAGAAGAGGAGGGTTTGTGTGACCGGAGCTGGAGGCTTTGTAGCTTCCTGGCTTGTGAAGCTCCTGCTCTCCAAGGGTTACTTTGTCCATGGAACCGTCAGAGATCCAAGTACCACTATCTACCTCTTCTTTCTGTCTGCTCTATTCCCTTCTATTATACTCGTCGATCCTTCTCTCTTTCAGACAATTTCTCACATTTGCTTTAGTTTACTCATTTGTTGATTTGCTCAAACTATAAGAAGAAAAGAATATATTTGCAAATGGAGTTGATGTACTGATTATGCTTATTAATAACTTCAAATCCTTTTTAATGTGCTGATCATGCTCGCAATTGTTCAAGGCAATGAAAAGAACGCACATTTGAAGAAGCTAGAGAATTCCTCAGAGAATCTGCAACTCTTTAGTGCAGAGTTGCATGACTTCAATGCTATTGCAGCAGCAATTGCAGGTTGTAAAGGAGTTTTCCATGTCGCTAGTCCTGTGATTTTTACTGAAGTCTCCAATCCCGAGGTAATGATAACAATTCTATCTTTTCTCCAAATTTCTTCTCCTATCCACCAATTCTATTTTCTTCTAAGATACAGATGTGTAGGCAAATTAGCTCTGCAAATGTTATCTTAATAACTTTTCTTTGCAGGTGGAAATAATAAGGCCTGCTCTTGAGTACACTAAAAATGTACTCAATGCGTGCTCTGAAACTAAAGTGAAAAGAGTTGTGCTGGTTTCTTCTGCCGATTCTGTAGTTATTAATCCAAATTGGCCCAAGGGGACGGTAATGGATGAGAATTCCTGGACAGATGAGGAGTTATGCAGAAAAAATCAGGTATTCGACCTCTCTTTGCAGTATTAGTATTAAGCAGCAGTCGTAGCTCTATAAGCAGATAGTTTGATTATTTTTAGAATTGATTTTGGTTCAGCACTTTCTGATTCTATAATGTCACACAGCTCTTGTAAGACCAATTATGCTTCATGCTTGCAGTAAATTTAGCTAATAACATAAACTATTGGTTTTAAGAAAAGGAATAAATTAATATTCTAAAACTTGCTAACTTAATGTAGATGCCATGCGAAATTAAGTTATCATCCTATTTTTTGTTGAATTTTTTTCTCTCTCTGTCCCTATCTCTCTCTCTTTCTATCTATTCATCCATCTATTTGTTTCTCTAGACTTCTCCCTCTGAATTTTTCTTGCTGGATGTGCGCTCTGAAAAATCAGCCCCGGCCTCCGCTCGCTCTTTTCTTTTTATTCGAGAGAGGGAGTTTTAACGAACTAAGTTCCGGGGTAAATTTTGGAAGGCAGGTGGGTTTGTAGATAAGACACTACCCAGAGATTTCGCCCTCATTTTGCGAGGACTTTATGATCTGAGTTCTGGTTTCCTATAGGCGCAAGCCCCTATAGTTAATTACCCCTCCCGATTACGAGAGAGAACTTTCGATTAAGGCTAGTCGTCAATCAGATACGTATAGAATACGTGTAATCTGGCGTATAGTAGCAGCAATAAATTTGGGTATTTGAAATTTTGGAAAGTAGTTGGGAATTTGAAGATTTTATATTTAAAGTAGAAATTTCACCATCATGCACTTAAAGCGAATGGTGGGGGATTGGATGATAGACCCGGTCAAGATCCAATGGTTCCATCGTCCCGGGCCATCGTGGTCCCTGGTCTACTTAGTCAGAGGAGGTAGTCGACCCAACCTGACAGAAGGATCCTTGTCGGCAGCCATGGGTTGCTTCGTCCAAGGGAACCTTGTAGACCGGGGTTGAATGTCTGTCTAAGGGGACAAATTTGAATCCACCTTAGCTAACAGAGGGCTTTGTGTCCTATCGATCATATCCTATTGATTCATATCTCAAGGATTTAACGTCACTAAGGAGCGTATTGGCTCTTGCCATAACCGCTATTTGTGATGCCATTTGGCGGCAAAACCACTTGGTTCAGAGGGCCCCGGGTCATAACCGTTTACCTGCAGTGCCATTTGGCGGCGAAACTGCCGGTTAGAGGACACGTACCACGTCCTTACTGGCAAGAGATTGTTTGAGAATGGATCCTAGTGATATTTTCGATTAGGCATTTGGCTCTTTGTGAGCTGAAGTAAATTTTAATTTGTCCACCTCGGCAAACTGTTGCGAAGGGTGAATGGATTTTGCTTTAAGCGTTGATGGATTTATTTCAATTTTAAATATTTTTTGGGATTTTTGAGATTTTTTGGATATTTGGAACGGCATTGGAAATATTTGTGAACCCCTCCAATTGAGATTAGCATTCAACACGGCCATCATCGGGGTGTTTGGGGTTATTTTTATTTAATTGAACCTTGTCGACTCTATCAACTGTCGACAAAGGATCGGGTTTCTTATAGGCTTCGTGCCTTTATCAGTGAATTCTCTTGATTATAGTCCTTGAAGGCCTAATCTAAATGGATTAAAATAAATACACCAGTTCACGCAACCGTGTATTTATTTGAAGGTTCGAACCTTGTCGACTCCTATTGATCCGCATAAGAGGATCGGGTGCGAATCTGAATACACTTGTTAATCCGCGCAGCATCCCTAGACGTCACGTGTGTACCAATAACACGCTCGTCGGGGCCCATGCGGGTTTGGGGGCATTCTATAATTAAACCATGTCGACTCCTTTTTACCTGTTAAGGAAGATCGGGTTTAAAATTTGATAACTCGCGTAGCATCCCTAGACGTTACGTGTGTACCAATAACACGCTCGCCGGGGCCCATGCGGATTGAGATTGTATTTTTCCCTTTTAGTGTACCTATGTGTATACAAACTACGGTGCACGTGCATGGGTACTTTTGGAATGCTTGAATGGTCTTCTATAATAGCCTATAGAGATTTACATTTTGACGTAGTCATCTTATATTTTGTATTTATTGCAAAAAACATATTGGGTGCAGAATAGATCTCCTACGATAGTTCATAGGAGCTTGCATTCGTCATAATCTTTATGCATTTCGCTATGGTTTTGGTCCCCACAACACATCCACTATTGTTGGAGGTAGATGTATTCATCCTTAGAATGAAGTTGACTACAGGATACTGCATTTACTGTAGTTTTTATGCATCTACCCAGGGTGGCATGTTATACATACATCTGTAGTTGTCGAGAGATTGTATGTATTGCAGATCTTCTTATCCTTGCTTGTAGATGTTCAATATATTTTTCTTGATGCTGAATGATGGTTGACTGCAAAAGCATTGCAATATCCAATGGCTCTTGCTACATAGTTTGTAGGTGCTAGCACTTATTGTATTATCATCCATCTTTGCTTATAATGGATCAACATATTTGCTCGATATTGGATGGTGATTGATTGTAAAGGTGTTGTGACATTCATCGCCTTCACTTGAGTTGCATTGCTTGCATGAAATTCATTTGAACGAGATCAATTCAAGTAAATTACATTGAAGCCCACAAGTCTTTAGCATATGCTTGTGTATGAATCATTACAATCATTCATGCTCTTTGTATATTATTCAAGCCAAATAATTTGCATGACCCTTCACTATCATTTGTGAGTGAATAATGCTAGAGGTCACACAATCTTCATTATCCTTGAACATAACTTATAGTTTGAAAGAGACTTCATTGTTTGGATGATAATTTTACTAAGCATTTTGTGTCGATTGCTTGGCAACAATCATCTTCAATTTACTTTCAATCACTTAAGAGCACAATAGAGATACATTGCTTCTATTCATGACATGCCTCATTTTTGTTCAATCAATTGTCACTTAGGAGTGAATTATGCCCAATATTACAAATCGATTTCGTGCTCCAAAGTTCTCATATTGATGGCTTTACAATCAAGCCATACCTTCTTACATTTTTTTTCTTTTTGTATATTCACCAACATCTCAATCACAATTGAGATGATAATTGCAAATTCTCATTGTCCAAAATTTCACCTAAAAGCATATGATCAATTCATGCTTAAATATTTGATTTTATCATTCACATAATTCATGGTGATTTTTATTTTAAACATTAAAATTTAATCCAAATTGGATTTAAAATCATTTATTCAATGCTCATTTGAATTCAATCTTCAAGTTTCAAATTTTTTATATTTGGTTTATTTGATGTTCCAACCAAATTCAGTCTCAATTCATGTCCTTGCTTGAGCCCAAATAACAAGCTCAAGTCATATGTCATATGTCATTCATATGTTCAAAGAGAGTTCAGGCTCAATGCGAGCCTCTTCAGTTCATCGAGTCCCCTGCTGTCCTTTCAAGTGCAATTTCTTGTCCAAGTTTGAATCAAAGTTCAATGCAGTCCCAAATTGAGTCCTCTTGCATTTTGTTCCAATGTTAATTTCATTTGATTAAACTTGATTTAAATTTGACTTTTATGCTCAAGTTAAATTCTCATTTTAATTTTATTTTAATTAAGTTCAAGAAATAGTCATTTGTATTTTTGTCCACAAGTTCAAGTCAAAGCACAAGTCCAAGTTCAAGTTTCAGTCCGAGTTCAAGTTCAATATGTCCAAATTCTGTCCAAGTCCTTGAATCTTCAGTGAAAATTTCAGCAGCCTCCCGGCGTCTCCCCCGTTTAGAGGAAAACTACGGAAAACTGGGCCTCCCGCCACGCTAGAGAAAAACGTGCACGGTAGGTGCCCTCGTACGAGGACACCGCGGCCATGAAATTTTTGATCCCCCACCACGCCAGAGAAAGGCGTGCATGGGTCTTCGGTACCTGTTGCAAAAGAGAAGCAGTCGTTTCCCCGCAAGCGGGCACTTATGGGCATCCCGGTCTCGTCGTAGGCATCGCACCGGGTTCCCTTCCCACCACGCTAGAGAAAAGCGTGCATGAGTTGGTTTCCCGGTTCGACACTAACGTCGAGAATAGGATTTGGAACCGAGTCTCACTCACCTACCTTGCTGTAGGTGTCGCGCCGGTTGCCCCTCCCACCACGCTAGAGAAAAGCGTGCATGGGCAGACCACCGACTCGACACGCATGCCGAGATAGGGGAGAGTGAAAGGGTTCGAAAATCAAGAGAGCATTTTTTTTTCTTTTCTTTTCTTTTTTTTTCTTTCTTTTCTTTTCTCTCATTTTTTTTCTCTTTTTTTTGTTTTTTTTTTCTGCTTTTTTTTTTCACTTCTTTTTTTTTGGCAAGCTCTTTTTTTTTTTACTTTCTTTTATTTTAATTTTTACACGCATACAAATATATATAAAATAACTTAATACTATTATAAACATTAATGATAATTAGTAGATATAACAGTTTGTGCATATACATTAATAGTTATAACACAAATACATAACAGTTATAATATATATAAAAAAAAGGTGCGTCTTTACAATGATAGTCGCGGCTAAACAGTAAAAAAAAAAGTCTAATTGTTTAAAACATCTCTCACTCTTATGATAATATTCCAGCAATATATAAATAAAATAAAATTAAAGGAATATATATAATACCATGACAACTGTCAACCAATTACAAAAAGTTAATCATTAGCTAATATTAACAGTTAATCATTATAATAACGTCTAAAGCCAATAGTAATTAAATGATAACTAGCATTAGCAGCTAACTAATGTAATAGTAAATAATACTTAAGAAATGAAATGAAAAGTGGCAGAAAGAATCTTCCCTAATGTTAAGCTAACATTTCTGTGGATTTCCCGTGAGAAAAAAAAAGGTAATTGAGTTGTGAGCATGCTATCGGCTGTTAAGGAATAAAGTAATTTCTTCTTCTCTTTTTTTTTTTTTTTTTAGGCTTGGTGAGAGAGACGAAAATGACAGAGGAGAAAGCTACAACTATGAACAGTAGGGAGGGGAATAAGCTAGGATGTTCGCCTGAGAGGAAGTGTTTATTTAAGTGGCTTGAAGCTCGATTTGGGGACCTGCGTCTGAGGAGGAAGTATTGGAGAGCTTTGCCTCAGTTAACCAGGAAGAATCGAACAGGGATAGGAGGAGTCCGGTTGGATACTAGCTTGAAGTCAATGAACTGGGATGAATAGAAATGGTGCATGAGGACAGAGAGTCGGCATTTACCTGCGGTTGGAAATCGGATGGGTGGCAGGTGAAATTTATGGCTTGTGTGAGGTAGAAGTTGAGAAGGAGAGAGGCTGACTTGCTGCAGGAGTTGTGAACAAACTCTTCGAAACAGAGAAGGGGTGTTGTGGAGTTCAGAAGTTGGAAACGAGATTTTTTTTGTAAAGCCAGTCGGAGGTGGAAGTCGTGAAGGTGAGGAGGCATCGTCTATTTTATTTTAACGAAGATAGTTGACGGAAAGGAGGAGGTGTCCACTCAATTTCATTTTGACGGGAAGCTCGTACACCCAAGCCGAGCTGCGACAGAGAGACAAACGAGGTAAAATTTTTAATGCTCATTAATGGATTTAACCCTCTTTCCTCAATATGGCACCTGGTTTTTACTAAATATTTTAAAAATCAAAGCCATATCAGTGCTTGGTCACTGTTGAATTAAATCAAAATAGTCAAAATGTCTTAATTAGGTCAAAGGTCGCCTCGATTCATGTGCAATTTCCTCGTTTCGTGTGTATTTTTGCCTCGTTAAGCGTGTCAAATTCTTCGAACATCAAAATTAGACAAATTAATAGTGAAATTAGGGTATTGTCGATGTTCCGGTCGCAACGACGCAGTCCGCTTCAAGATCGGACGTCATTTGGGCGACGACGAGGCTTAAATCTCTCGAAATACGTGTCGTCTCGATTTGAGCGCAAAACCTCATTCAAACAAATTGGCACTGCATTAATAGTATTGACGGTGTTCCAAACCCAATGACGCAGTCCGTTTTGCGATCGGGCATTGTTTGATCATCGTCGAGGCTTATCTCCCTAGAAATGCGTGCCTTTGCAACATATTTGAATCGCTTTTGAAATTTACGATGCTACCTTAAATGATCCAATTTGATCAAATAAAATGTAGACTCTTAATGCCAACAATGTTCCGGATGCAACGGTGCCATCCGTTTGGCAATCGGACGTCATGTCGTCTCCGTAGAGTTGAATTTCCGCAATATGCGCGTCATTGCATTATATTGGGATCGCCTCGAGATATGTGCCACCAATATGGGCGCTTCAAATTGAATAAACAAAAATTGCAGTTTTTAGAGGTTGACATTATTCCGGACGCAACGGTGAAGTCCGTTTGTCGATCCGACATTGTTTGATTAACCTCGCACTTTAATTTTGGGTGTCGGCCATCCCTTTTGACCGATCTCGTCTGATTCGATTGCGAGGGGCCTCGACCTAGCAGAGTTTAGTGTCCTGATCACAACGATATTATCCATTCGGCATTCGGAGGTCATTTGACCCCTTAAGTGATGCATTTTGTCAAAGCACACATTACCTAAATCGTCTTTCTCGTCTCTTTTTGCATGATTTTATGTGTAGGGGTCAACACTGGACGAAAATGTTTTAGCATGTGAAGTACAATTCTATACTAAAATCTTGACGTTTCAGATCTGCTTCTATCTATGGAGTTTTTTCTCTCTCTCTCAAACAGGCCTTTCCCACTATGGGTTGGAGAGGTCTCTGGTTTTCTGCCTTCGGAGTACTTTATGCACTATTCTTCAATGGCCTTCAATAAGCACACTTTAGTGCAAAATATTTCTAGAGCTCAGCTCTTCAAATCGATTGTTTAAATTTTTTTGCTAAAAAACTACTTTAAGAAGTAAGAAAGCCATCCCAAACAAAGCCTAAGTCACATCTACTGTTTAATTTTCTCCTTACAAGCTTCTTTGTGAACTCAAACTTCAAATCTACTGCTCATAACTATGCCATAGGAGTACTAACTTGTTTCATTCATGACCACATATTGTTCTAAAACTCTAACAAATTAAAATCACTTTATGTTTTTACTAAATTGTTTCATTATTAATGGTGTTTGGCAGAGCTGGTATTGCCTTTCCAAAGTATTAGCAGAGAGGACCGCTTTAGATTATGGACAGAAGCATGGACTTGATGTAGTTACCGTTTGCCCTAGCACAGTGTTGGGGCCGCTGCTGCAATCAACCGTTAACTTCAGCAGCTTATTTTTCATTAACATTTTGAAAGGTGCGCTTCTCTCCTTTCCAAAGTTTTTTAAGACATTGTAGTATTTTGCCAGCAAAGGCATGCTTATTCTAATAGGATATTTCTCACAGCTGATAAATTATATTCGAGCAATCATTAAGTGAAATAACAGTTTAATGAGATACTTGAGGCACTATTTATTAGTGACCAAGACATACATCTAATCACATATAACCAATTCTAAGCTACAGCTCCCCAAACAGCCCTCATACATCCAAGACCAAAAAACAAATCTTTTTCTTTTCTATATTGCTATTAATTATTATTATTAATTAGTATTATTAATTGTTATTATTACTATTATTATATAAAAAAAGAAAAGATGAAAAAGTAAACTTCGTGCCTCGGTCCTCGTGCCCTCGTCATCGCCATCCTTACCTTGGCATTACTATTGCCGCTCGACACTAACGTATAATGACTTTTAAAACTAAAAAAAATCTCAAAATCCCTTTTTCGGCTCTTGGCGCAACGAGCATACCACTTATGCACGCTTTTCTTAGCGTAGTGGTACGGAGCTCAATGTGATGCTTGCGGCGAAGTGGGGTGAGCCTTGTGCACGTTTTTCTTAGCATTGAGGGGTAAGAACTGATGTAGGTGCTTCTATGCACATTTTTCGCATAGGTACTGCTGCAATCAAGCTAAGACCTTCCACCAAGGAAGGACCTCATTTGTAATCAACTGCAATACTAGTGGATTCATTCAAACAGGGCTAAGCCCCGTGGTTTTTCCCCCTTTTACAGGGGTTTTCCACGTAAAAATTTTGGTGTCTCATAAATGCTAGACCTTCTCTCCTTATCTGATTGCGTGCCGGATTTTCGTGCAATGCTAAGACGTTAAATATGATATTTCTCTACCGCCGCGAATACTCCTGGACGCAACAATAATATAAAAAAGGTTATGCCTAAGGGCATCTCCAACCGAACGTCAAACGAGCGTTTGGCGTCATTCCTTCGCTCCAGCCGAACGCCAAAAAATCCTCCATTTGCTTGCGGGTGGTGTTGCACTGTTCACCCACGCCATTTTTCTCTGTCAACCGGAAAAATGCGGGAAAGGAGAAGGGTCGTTACCTTGGCCCAAAAGCAAAAAAATGGCGTTGGATTGGAGCAGCACCACGCCATTTTTGCTTTTTGCGGTATTTTGGGGTGAAAAATAGAGTTATCGCTTGGAGATGACCTTACTCTGACTGTGAGCTGTAGAGTTGGGTCGGCAGAGGGGAGTCGTGTGAGCTACGATCAAGTCAGCTAAGAAGAGCGTCGGCTTAAGTCGGAAGAGATGCTATGGAGTCGGATGCAGCGTCGACGGCTAGATCTAGTATAGGAGGTCAGCAAGGTCTGGTGCGGAAATGTCGAGTTCGGCTCCCATAGCAGAGATCGGAAGAGTGTAGGCAGAGTCAAAGCAGCTGTGGAGGTTGGTTGTGTCAGAGGGCTTGCAAGATGTGTGAGAAGAAGAGGGCTGAGGTGTAAACGGCGAGTTTCAATCAGAGGAAGTAGGAGTTATCAGGTAAACAGAGCACACGCTCTCCTCAATACGGTGGGGTCAAGATGGGCTCCACGTGGCGCGATACTACTTGTTTGCACATACAGAACTACGTCCGCACTCGGCACCCAATAAAAACTCGAGAAGAAGAGGGCTGAGGTGTAAACGACGAGTTTCAATCAGAGGAAGTAGGAACTCAAACGGGAATAGAGTGAGCTGAAAATGAAAACGAAGCCCCTTCCTTCGTCTTTGTTTTATTGACGTGAGTGGATGCGTGATCGAGGCTAGCTCGCAGGATATCCAGGAAGAGACGCCATCATAGCGGGATTTGCTGGTTTGATAATCCGAGGTGAGCAGGATTTCAGGAATTCTACAGAGCAGAGGTATCTTTTCTCTCTTTTTTTGTTCTTTACACAGAGGTCAAAATCAACTTGTTAAACAATGATTAAAATATAGAACAAGTTCTTTCACATACATATGTTAAAAATACACCAACTAGTTCTTCAAAAAAGTAACAACAACTAATTATCATTCGTGTCTTCGGAGTCCTGCAATTCAAGTATATGTTCTTGCTCATTTTTCTTATGATTTTCAACTTGATATGATCATAGCTCTGCCTGCATCTCATCTTGAATCTTCCTCATATCCTCTATCTCTCTTGACAGGGCAGCAACCCTCTGGCTAACAGTTTTCTTCATCTCCACTAACATCATAAAATGTTGAAGTAGATGTACTGTCCTCATAAGTATATGAGATCCAAATCCACTATTCTGGAACAAATCCTCTACGATATAAATCAACCTTTACATTATCGGTCTTAAGGAATGATTAATTTTTATGCTTTGAGCTTAAATAAAGTTAGTAGACATGCTACATGAATAAAAGTCTCAACTCACTCCATAAATTCATCTGTCAATCGTTTTCAACCTGGTAACAATCTGTTATATATCCAATATATCTCTTATTAGATAATCATTTGGATGTTAAAGCAAACGTTTCCAACATAGTTGTGAAATGAATTATTAAAAAAGGTGTAGCTTTAAAGGTGTGATAAATGCATCAAGGTAAGAAATACATGTATCCTTTTTGTCCATTGTGTCTTGTTAAAAATGAAGTTCTCATTTAAATCTAATAAAAAAATATTATTTTTAATATTTTCTAACAAAGTATTTTTAGGTCTACCTATACCTTTCTTAACATAAGTTAAATCTAATACCTATGCTTTTCTAATCGGGTCATCGATATCGGAAGGCCACTGTTTTATGTGACCAAACCATCTAATTAAGGAGATTTTCTCTAATCTTATCTTCCACAAGCGCTACGCCAACCTTTTCACGTATATGGTCATTTTGTTTCCTATCTATATGGGTAAAGACAATCATCCACCTGAGCATCCTCATCTCTGCAACACTTTACTTTGTCTTATGCTTCTCTTTTAATGGATAACATTCGACACCATAAAGCATTGCAGGTCTCACCATCATCTTATAGAATTTTCCCTTAAGTTTGAGGTGGACATTTCTATCACACAACAAACCTGATGCATTCTTCCACTTCAACCATCCAACTTGAATTCTATTGATAATGTACACATCTATTTCACCATCACTCTAAACAATAGATCCAAGATATCTAAAATGTGTACTCATATTAATGACTTGATTGCCCAAAGTCACAATCCTCTCACTAGTTCTAGTACTACTAAAATTATATTCCATATATTCAGTTTTAGATCTACTCAAGAGAAAAACTTTAGACTCTAAGGTTGACCTCCATAATTCAAGTTTACCTTCAACTCTCTTTCTAGTCTTATCAACAAAAAAAATATCATCAGCAAAAAGCATACACCAAGGTACATCCTCTTGCAAATATCTGGTGAGAACGTTCATTACTAAAGTAAAAAGATATGGGTTTATGGCTTTCTTTAAAGAAACACCAAGGGCATGGATGGAGATTAAAAGGCATGTATAGTTTGAGCATGAAGATTAAAAAAAAAAAAAACTAAGGAGATGCGTGGAGATGCCTTCGACTAAGGCGGGCAGGCAGGTGAGCGGAAATCGGCTACTCAAGTTCGGCCGGTGGTCAAGGTCGGTTTAGCAAGAGCAAAATGTCACAACTCATATGGATAAAAAAAAAAAAGCAGGCGATCGAGGCCAAATTTTGGCAAGCGATCGCTTTCTCTTGACGAAACAAATTAGCTAGGCAAAGAAATGAGGAAGATGGAGGCGGTGTTGGGGGATGGGGGGTGATCAGTTTTAGGGCACTTTCCGACGGCTTTTCTAGCGGTTTAAACATCGATAAATTTTCACTTAAAAATGGTGGCTAAATCGCTGGTAAATATTGATATGTTCACTAAATACCAGCGCCATTTCCATTGGGCAAATGACCGCCGAAATTGTTGTGGCTATTAACCGCCGGTTAAACAGCCAGTTTAACCGCAAGTATTTTGTGAATTTTCTGTAGTGATAGTTTTAGATGATTATATGGAGTTGCAATTGAATGTGGTAGCTATCATCACTAATAATTGTTTTATGGTTTTTTACCAAAAAAAATCCTATTTAAACAGTCTGGTGGTTTTACTTCCTGAAAGATTTGATGAAAAATAATTAGCCAAAAGATTCTTTAAAAAATTATCCTAACAACCTTTATAATGAAAAATAAGTGGGGCCTTTCAACAAAATGGGGAAAATAAATAGAATTGTCCATTCCACTTCACTCTTAAGAAGATGAAAGATTGAAGATTCTCAATATTTTCAATGTTGAGTGTTTTCAATATGAACTCAGTAATTTATTTTGGGTTGGTCTTTTCATTCATGCAGGAACATAAGTTAACGATAAGATCAAAGAAGTAATCGTCTTAGAAGATCAAGTAGCAGATATTTACAATAACTTATCAACTTTGTCTACCTCTCGTTTCTTTTACCTTCCGAAGAGTTAGATCATACTTAGGATGACTTAGTAGAAGTGCAAGTATAGCTATGTCAAAGGTGAAGACCTTTATAAATCTGAATTATTTGGAGCATTTCAATGAATATCAAGTGCTTGCAAATACGACAACCACATAATTCCTTTTTGTGTTTGATTAGTGCTCATGATTCATTAATGAACCTTCGCAGGCTCCATCGATTCTTTACTGAATCATCGAAGCTGGCATTTTGTTGATGTTAGAGATTTAGCTGATGCACTTCTTCTGTTGTATGAGAAGCCTGATGCATCTGGTCGTTATATTTGCACGCAAGAACCAATTCGAATTCCTGACTTTATGGAATTGCTGAAAAACATGTATCCTTATTTCGAGTCCCCAACAAGGCAAGCCTTGCTGTTTTCTAAATTCGAGAAATACTATTTTGCTTCACTTGTTATTTCTACGTCATTTGTTGATTAATAAATTGCAGTCTCCCTGAGCTAGATGAAGACTCCGAAATGACTTCAGAGAAGTTGAAAAAAATTGGATGGAGGTGCAGAGAACTGAAAGAGACAATTTCTGATACTGTCAAATATTATGAAGAGGCTGGTCTTTTAAGAATGGACATGAAGATCGTGGAATAGTTATGACTTAACAATCTTAATGTGCTTTCAGCTATGTGCTGTTCTCATTTCTTTTCTTTTTTTTTTTGTATGAAGGTCTGAGTGTTGAAATTTTGTTATATTTTTCCTTGTTGTATTATTATGAATATCTAACTTGAAAATCAAGTAGATTTGGGGTTCTGTTCGAGGTATCGTTTTCATAGTATTACATTCATGTGGAATCCAATATGATGATGCATGAATTGGTTTACCAAACTTATGTCATAGGTGATACATTGTCTCAAAATTTTGTAATTTCCCGCAAGATGTTTGTAACTTTCCTATTGTCTTAGCACTTGATCTTGATATTGGTGTAACTTTCCTTATAGTCAATCATCCTGATACTAAATAGTAAATTTTCTTTGTGATAAAAATATGTAAATTTTCTTTGTGATAAAAATATGTTGTTTGAGCTATCTCAATGACAACAAAATTTTATAAGTACTCATTTATTTCTTATTTCGAATTTAATAACTATATATTTTTGTTGGTATGTTATTTACTTTTGATCATTAATATTATTGTATAATGTATATAAATTATTAAGGCTATTGCCTTCTCTTAACAATGTTTTAGAGATAGAGTATAATTTGAATTGCTTTATTTGAAATCATGCTTTTTATTTGCCACACTAAACCTCCCAAGCCACACACTTAGGGATTGCGTTAATTTTTGCCACTAGTAGGAACTTTTCTTGATAATATATCTCAAATTTTTTAGTGTATCCTTTTGCCATGAGCCTCTATCTACAAAAAACTGCTTATTTTCGGCGGATGTTCCGACGGATCTATATATGTCGTTTAAAGCAGCGGTTGAACAGGCGGATAATTTGCCGGAATAATTCCGACGTATATTACGCTGGTACATTTCCGTCATATATGACGCCGGTTAATTTGTCGGAGCGTTTGTTATACCGATGAATAATGCACCGGGAATTACAGGCGTGTATACCGTCGAATTAGCCACGGCTTATTTAAACACAATGACTCATTACCGGCGTATATTTCTCCGAAAATCGAACCAACGTATTATCCGTCGGTAATTATGACGGAACGAGCCCTATTTCCTAACTTCGTCCCGTTCCTTCTGATTTGCTCTTGTTCGATTCTCTGTTTGTCGTCCAGCTGCGACCGACGCCTCGCTGACCTCAGTCTTCCGTTTGCCGCCGTTCTTGACCTCTGCTGCCGTTATTAGCCTCCGTCGATGTTCTTGGCCTCTGACGCCACTAAGATAAGCCGATCTTCGTTCTCCCATATCGGTTCTCGCGACTCCGTCCGTCTCTTACAGTAATACAAAGCTACATTCTTTTTGCTTCAATCATGGATGTTCTCACTAGACATTTGCAAGAGGTAGTTCCCTAGTGTATGCTATTTGATGATGATATTCTTATTGTTGATAAGACTAGAGAGGGTGTTGAAGGTAATCTTGAATTATGGATGTGAACCTTAGGTCTAAATTCTTTTATTTGAGTAGATTTATAGCTGAATATATGGAATGTAATTTTAGTAATAATAGTTTTATTAGATGAGGATATTATTAGTAGAATTCAAGTTGGATGGTTGAGGTGGAGGAATGCATTAGGCTTGTTGTGTGATAAAAAAGTCCCCCTCAAACTTATGGGAAAATTCTATAAGATGGTTATTAGACCTGCAATGCTTTATGATGTAGAATGTTGGCCATTAAAAGAAAAGAGAACCATAGAATTACCGCCAGTATTTCACCGGAAGTACCGCCAGAAATGTTTCCGGCGAAATGTTTACTTCAGAATGTTATTTGCGACGCGCGAATTACCATCAAATGATTTTTGCCGGAAATTCGTTGGAAAAACGTAATTTCCAGCGTTTTTCATTGTTACCGACGGATATGGTCCGCCGATAATCACCTATTTTCATGTAGTGTCTATTGAGCCATCTATCGTGTATTTGATTAATAGAACCCATATGAATCAAATGATTATATTTTCCATGTGGTTGCGGTACAAAAGTCCACCTATAATTCATTGTAGTGCTGTATCTCTCATATGATTACTTAGCTTCATTTGGGGTTATTCAATGCCTCTTCGTAATTTTTATTGTGTATCTTTCTAGTGACATATAAGATTAGAGAGAGTCGCCTTAGATGGTTTGGTCATGTAAAGCGTCGGCCTTCCGATGATCTTGTTAGGAGAGTATATGTATAAGATTTGGCCTGTATTAAGAAAATTAGAGGTAGACCTAAAAAGCCTTGGTTAGAAAATATTAGAAATGACATTTCTTTATTATATTTAAATGAGAATTTGACTCTTAAAAAGACACAATGAAGAAAAAAGATTCATGTAGCCAATCCAACGTAGTGGGATAAAGGCTTGATGTTATTGTTGTTGTGTTTGTATCTTTCTATTAAGTCATCTATCTTATATATTTGATTAATAACACACTTTTGCATGCGTTGACGTTTTTCGTATTGTAGGGCGCAAGTGGTCATACATGGTTCCTTCCAAGTGTTGTTATCTTTTATGTTATTACTTGGGTCCATTTGGAGTTATTCACTGCCTCTTGCACTTTGTTTGGAACAAAATTAAAGAAATGTTGTGTGTAAGTTCTATGAGAGATTTTGATAGTTATTCAACTATGACACATGATTGCTTCTGGATCTATAGAGCCCTAATTTAATGGGTTTCCTCAATTGCGTCTTTAGAAAAATTTAGTAAAAGAAGATATATTTTCAGAATAGATTGTCATTTGCATAACCCAACTTATTCCGACCTATGATATGCATCGCATAGTCAAGATCCAAAGAGCATAGTTGCTGTCATTTAGCTTAATGCTAGTTACCAGCATTACAAATCCTATAATTTAAGAGATTATTTAGATGAATTTGTAATAGATGGAGTTTCTCCAAAGGAGATATTAATGAATAGGAGAACTAAACCCAAAGGGTCAAGTATGTGCAGAGTAGAAGCTGAGCAAGTGACATGAAGAGGTCAGCTAGTATGCAAAGTCTCGTAGATTCAATGGGAAATAAAGCAAGACCAGCTGGGCCTGTGAATATTATGAAGTTGATGAAGTTAAAAAATCGATGAATTCGTAGATTATGATCGACAAAGTGGATAAGATGGGTGAAGAACAATCTGAATCCCTTATGATATCTTTAAAGGATCTTTGTGAAGACCATTAAAGATTTCTTTTCATCCATAAAATGTCATGGCGAGAGTAGGAATCCTTTCAAGATCTTTTGAGGAAAAAAAGGGCTAAAATTACTTTGAGACCATGAAGAGTAAAACATCTCTTTTTTCCATGATGTGGCATGCACAATATCTATATTGTAGACAATAAATATATAAAATAATATATATTCTTATTCTAGGAAAGAAATTGAGGTAAAATACACTCAGTTAAATTATAAAATTATTTCAATATTAGTGGATGATCTGAAGGAATATAATTTTTTTTTTGTGCTAATTTAGAAGAATCCACAATTATGCGTTTAATTTTCAGCCTTCTATCTATAGCTTATTTTAACAAAATTCTATAATATTCATAATGGCTTTCAAAAATCATCTTTGCCACAAGTACTTTCCTACAATATCTTAATAATTACTCTTACAAACAACTTTTAATAAGAAAAATCAAGCGGGAGCTACACTGATGATGTGGGAGCTATACCTTCGATCAATAACTATCAATCTTTGTATAGCCGAATTAGTGGTTGTATTGTAACCTTATTAATTAATATCTCCTGTAACTATCAATATATCTTTTATGAATAAAGGGGCCTTTGAGTTTGTTCTCAGAAATGTATTTTCTCTTCCTTTGTGTGGGCTCTGAAAATTTGGCCCCGGCCTTCCCCGCCTTGCTTTTCTTCGGGGAGATTTTAACAGATTAAGTTTCAGGATAAATTTTGGGAAGGCATATGGATTTGTAGATAAGACACTACCTAGAGATTTCGCCATCATTTTGCGAGGACTTAATGATCTGAGTTCTGGTTTCCTATAGGCGCAAGCCCCAATAGTTAATTACCCCTCCCGATAATGAGAGAGAACTTTTGATTAAGACTAGTCATCATTCAGATACAAAGAGATACATAGTATCTGGCATATAGTAGCAGCATGGGTTGAGGTATTTGAAGATGTGGAAAGTTTGATATTTAAAATTGGGAATATCACCATCTTGTACTTAAAGCGGATGGTAGGAGAATGGATGATGGGGCCGATCAAGATCCCATGGTTTTGTCATCTTGGTCCATCATGGTCCATGGTCTACTTAGTTAGAGGAGGTAGTCGACCCAACTTGACAGAAGGATCCTTGTTGGAAGCCATGGGTTGCATCATCCTAGGGTACCTTGTAAACCTGGGGTGGGTGTTTATCTAAGGGGACAAATTTAAATCCACCTTAGCTAATAGAGGCCTTTGTGCGATATCGATTATATCCTATTGATTCATATCTCAAGGATATGATGCCATTAAGGAACATATTGGCTCTAGCCATAACTATTATTTTGTGGTGCCATTTGGTGGTAGAACCACTCAGTTCAAAGGGCCCCAGGTCATAATCGTTTATCATGCGGTGCCATTTGGTGGCAAAATTGCCAGTCAGAGGACACGTACCATATCCTTAATGGCAAGAGATTATTTCAATAAACTATTGTGGAGAGTGAATTAATTTTAATTTAAGCATTGATGGGTAATTTCAATTTTAAACATTTTGGATTTGGATGATCTCGAGATATTTGGATATTTAGATATTTTGGATGGCATTTGAATAGTTGGAATGGGCCCCTCTAGTTGATATTTAAATTCAACCACAGCCATCATCGACGTTTACGGGGTCATTTTAAAGTGCTCGTATTTTGTGGATGTTTGGAGGCATCTGAAATGGTTGGAGTTAACACCTCCGATTGAGATATATGTTCAACACGGCCATCATCGAGGTGTTTGAGGTCATTTTCATTGTTTAAACCTTGTCGACCCTATCAACATTCTAATAGGGGATTGGGTTCATCGGCTTTATAGTTTTATTTTGTGAAATTCTCTTCTTAAAGACCTTGAAGGACTTATATAAACATATAAATAGATGTTTCGATCGACACATTCACTATATATCTATTTGATAATTCGAGCTATGTCGACTCCTATCCATCTGTATAGAAGGATCAATCTCAAATTATGTTCATTCATTGACCTCAACAGCATCCATATATGTCACATGTGTTCCTACAACACGCTCGTCGGGTCCCATACGGGTATTTGTGGGCATTTTATAATTATTTGCAAAACCTTATTGACTCTTATTTACCTGCTTAGGAGGTTCATGATCAAAATTATTGACTAGCGTAGCAT